TGTTAGCGGCTACAGAGGAAAGAAGCGTCAGGAGGCCCCACCACACATCTTCTCCATCTCTGATAATGCCTATCAGTTTATGTTAACTGGTAATATGCTTTTCAGAATGAACTCGTGTTATTAAGGTATCCACAGACTCATTTCTGCAGACAACTCACGTATGTATTTAATCTCTTTCAGACCGCGAAAACCAGTCTGTCCTAATTACGTAAGTACAATTTGAGATTGCGCTCAGCTGTTGCAATTAGGCACTTAAATTATAGCTGTGGCTCTTTACTGATATTTGTAAAATCTGTAACTAGTGGAGAATCTGGAGCTGGAAAGACTGTGAACACCAAGCGTGTCATTCAATACTTTGCAACAATTGCAGCCATTGGTGATTCAGGAAAGAAGAAGGAACTAAGTAACAGCTTGCAGGTGAGAGGAACTTTTAAAACATAATATGTAATGGACTATCATACATGATGGTCTTGCCTAAAGGTAAAGAGATTCTGGAAACAAATTTATACTTTTACATTTTCAGTGACCCAGATTAATAGTAAAAAAAAAAAATGGCAAACTTTATTGGCCTGCTCCATAGGTGAGGCACCGAATCACACCAAAAATTGATTTTCTTTATCTTCCTAGCAGCTAGGGTAGCAATAACTAGAACATAGATTCTTTGTCTATCCCGTTCACACTGGTAAATTTAAAGCTAGCTTGGATAACGATAAACGAGAAGCTATCAGCTACATTGCAGGATAAAGTACCATTATTTGAAAATATATGAGAAAATTGGAGACAATATATTTCAGGAGAATGTTGAATAGAGTAATGGACTAGACCCACAGAACAGATGAAGAGATGGAATACATCCCTCTGTATAGTCTCTTCTCTCTTGTCTTTTCTTCTTTCCTATATTTCAACTTGTTTTTCCCTAGTTCCTTTATTCTCAGGTTTACTGTATTAGCTCATATATGCTGTAGTTTCCACCAGCATTGCTATGGTTGAAATATGTTCTTCTGGGTTTTTCTTTTGTTAAATTGATTCTATGTCATGGTGGCGATCCTGTTTATGGAATAGACAATATCACAGAAAACCTTGTATCACACTTGTTCGGGAAATGTGAAAGCATATGTTACATGTCTTACATCTTGAAATGTTGTTTAACCACTTCAAGTCTGGGCACTTTTACCCCCTTCCTGTGCAGGCCAATTTTCAGCTTTCAGTGCTATCACACTTTGAATGACAATTGTGCGGTCATGCAACACTGTACCCATATGAATTTTTTTTGTGCATTTTTTGAGACAGATAAAACTTTATTTTGGTGGTATTTATTCACCACTGGGATTTTTATTTTTTTGCTATATAAATTAAAAAGTCCAAAAATTTTGAAAAAAAGTGTTTTTCTTATAAAATTTGCAAATAAATAATCTTTTTGTATAAATATTGGCCAAAATGTATTCAATTATCTGTTTAGTACAAAAAATAATAATCCAAATTAGTTTATAACCAAAAATTATAATTTTCCTAAAATTTTTTTACCATTTTTATTTTATTTTTTTATATTATATTATTTATGTTTTTTGTTTTTTTTAACATACTGCCACCCTAGCAGTACAGTGTCACCATAGTGACAATGTACTACTTGTGGGGGGTGATGAAGATTTTTTTTTTTTTGTACCCATAAAGGCTGTAAAAGCAATAGGTTCTCCTTCTCTCTGACTGCATTCTTGCAGTCATTGAGAAATACTTTGAGAGCTCTGATTGGTCACAGCTTGTCACATGGTGCAAGGCTGTTGAGAATAGCCTTGTACCATGTGACCTCGGTGATCATTCACAGATTTCACTAGTAGTAAGCAATGATGTCAGGAAGTGACATCTTGCTTACTACTATTCATGTGATCACTGATTGCCCAATCAGTGATCACATGAATCGGGACCTCACACAGAGGTCCCGTACAGCGATTGGTGTTTCTCTGTGTCCGGAGGATACAGTGGGCAACGGATCGCGGTGCCGCGCACTCCCAGGGAGCGTGCACAGGCTGTAAATGCGGGCGCCGTTTATGAACGGCAACCCGCTCCTGCACTGCTCCCTGTCCGGTCCGTTTATGTACATGGGCCGGAGGAGAATTGGTTAAAATAATAAAAATTATTGGAAAAGAAAACATAATATATAACTAAACACTGTCTTAGATTTGAAGCAGGGGCGGACTGACAACTCATGGGGCCCATGGGCAATAGGGGATCATGGGGCCCCTGTGTCCTTGCCCAAACTCAAAAAAGCCTATGAAAAAGGTACCAGGGGCATCTCATGGGGCCCCCCACTGACCCGGGCCCTCGGGCAGTGCCCGAGTTTCCAAATGGTCAGTCCGCCCCTGATTTGAAGTAATCTTTGTGTCACTATTCCATATAAGAACACCTCTGAAGTATTACTTAACAATTAAACAGGGCACACTGGAAGATCAAATCATCCAGGCTAACCCTCTGCTGGAAGCCTTTGGTAACGCCAAAACCTTGAGAAATGACAACTCCTCCCGTTTTGTAAGTATTAACCTTTATATTATTCTAAATAGGATTATTATTTTCTATTTAATACTCTCAACTTTGTTTTAAAAATCTCCAGGGCAAATTTATTAGAATCCACTTCGGAACCACAGGAAAACTGTCTTCCGCAGATATTGAGACCTGTAAGACTTGCCTAAACCTTTTCAAACATACTTCTTTTGATACTTATTTGTCCCTTCGGTAATAGTTGTAACGTTTTCTCTACAGACTTGCTAGAGAAGTCCAGAGTCACATTCCAACTTTCAGCAGAAAGAAGTTACCACATCTTCTACCAGATCCTGACCAACAAGAAACCAGAACTGATTGGTAACTTCATTTAAACTTCCACATACAGTTGCAAGAAAAAGTATGTGAACCCCTTGGGATTACGTGGAGTTTTGCATGAATTGGGCATAAAATGTGCTCTGAACGTCATCTAAGTCACAACAATAGAAGAACACAGTCTGCTGAACATAATACTACACAAACATTAGATATTTGCCATGGTTTAATTGCAGATAACATGTAAACATTCACAGTGCAGGGAGGAAAAAGTATGTGAACCTTTGGACTTAATAACTGGTTGACCCTCCTTTGGCAGCAATAACCTCAACCAAACGTTTCCTGTAGGTGCAGATCAGACCTGCACAACGATCTGGAGTCATTTTGGACCACTCCTCTTCACAAAACTGTTTCAGTGTAGCAATATTCTTGGGATGTCTGGTGTGAATCGCTCTCTTAAGGTCATGCCACAGCATTTCAATCGGGTTGAGGTCAGGACTTGACTGGGCCACTCCAGAAGGCGTATTCAAATGCTGCAGCCATTGTTTTGTTGAATTACTTGTATGCTTTGGGTCATTGTCTGTTGCATCACCCATCCTCTGCAAGCTTCAGTTGGAGGACAGATGGTCGTACGTTTTCCTGCAAAATGTCTTGATAAACTCTGGAATTCATTTTCCCATCAATGACAACAATTCGTCCAGGCCCTGAGGCAGCAAAGCAGCCCCAAACCATATGCTCCCCTCCGCCATGTTTCACAGTGGGGATGAGGTTTTGATGTTGGTGTGCTGTGTCTTTTTTTCTTCACACATAGTGTTGTGTGTTTCTTCCCAAACAACTCAATCTTGGTTTCATCTGTCCACAGTATATTCTGCCAGTAGTGCTGTGGAACATCCAGGTGCTCTTTTGCAAACTTCAAACGTGCTGCAATATTCTTTTTGGACAGCAATGGCTTCGTCCGTGGTGTCCTCCCATGTACTCCATTCTTGTTTCATGTTTTCCTTATTGTAGATGTGTCAACAAAAATGTTAGTATGTGCCAGAGATTTCTGTAGGTCTTTAGCTGACACTCTGGGATTCTTCTTTACCTCATGCAGCATTCTGCGCTGTGCTCTTGCAGTCATTTTTACAGGACGACCACGCCTAGGGAGAGTAGCAACAGTGCTAAACTTTCTCCATTTGTAGACAGTCTGTCTTACCGTGGACACATGAACATCAAGGCTTTTGGAGATACTTTTGTAACCCTTTCCAGCTTCTTGCAAGTCAACAATTCTTGATGGTAGGTCTTCTGAGAGCTCTTTTCTGTGAGGCATGGTTCACATCAGACCGTGCTTCTTGAAACCAGTAAACCCAAAACAGGTGTGTGTTTTTTAATGGCAGGACAGCTGTTAGCAACACATCCAATATCATCACACTATTTTTAGTCAAGGTTGGCTCACTCCTGGCTCCAATTAGCTCTGGGAGAAGTCATTAAGCTAGGGCCTCACATACTTTTTCCTCTCTGCACTGTGAATGTTTACATGTTATGTGCAATTAAACCATGGCAACATCTAATGTTTGTGTAGTATTATGTTCAGCAGACTGTGTTCTTCTATTGTTGTGACTTAGATGACGTTCAGAGCACATTTTATGCCCAATTCATGCAAAACTCCACGTAATCCCAAGGGGTTCACATACTTTTTCTTGCAACTGTAAATCTTCTGCAAAAGTAATAAGAATATAGAGAATAGCTATATATAATTTCAAATATATTTATGTTAAGATAAGAGCAGCTTAGTTATGTGTACCTTGACTGTATAATGTATTTGTTGTATGCTTAGAAATATGTTTGTACATATGGAAATGCTGTACAAATAGCAAGTGAGTTTATCTGGGGCAATAATGGTAATGCAAATTATTAGAGAATGTCACTTTTATAATAATCTTTATATCTTTTAGAATCACTTCTTCTGACAACAAACCCATACGACTACCCCTTCATCAGTCAGGGTGAGATTGCTGTCAAGAGTATCGATGATCAGGAGGAATTGATGGCTACAGATGTAAGTAATGTAACTTTACATTCTTTACTTTAGCAATAACTAGAGACAACTGTGCAAAATATGACACATGTACATATATTTGCAGAGTGCCATTGACATCCTGGGCTTCTCACCAGATGAAAAAATGGGCATCTACAAGTCGACTGGTGCTGTTATGCACCATGGCAACATGAAATTCAAGCAGAAGCAAAGAGAAGAGCAGGCTGAGCCTGATGGCACAGAAGGTAAGTAAAATATATTAATACCTAACCAGGGGCGAACTGACAACTCATGGGGCCCCCGGGCAATAGGGGATCATGGGGCCCCTGTGTCCTTGCCCAAACTCAATAAAACCTATGAAAAAGGTACCAGGGGCATCCCATGGGGCCCCCTACTGACCCCGGGCCCTCGGCAGTGCCCGAGTTTCCAAATGGTCAGTCCGCCCCTGACCTAACATGAAATTAAACAAAAGCAATCAAAAACTTTGTAATCGCTCTGGACAAGCTCTCTATTTTATTAAAAAAAATTATTTTTCTAGTTGCTGATAAAATAGCCTACTTGATGGGACTGAATTCTGCTGACCTCCTAAAGGCTCTATGCTACCCTAGGGTCAAAGTCGGCAATGAGTTTGTCACCAAGGGACAAACTGTCCAACAGGTAATATGCTGTTAGAAACATAAAGGTTAATGTTAAAGTTAGCTAGAATATTCTGGTAGGAAAATTGGTAGAAAAATATTAATTTGTCATTTTTTTTTAGGTTTATAACTCAATTGGTGCCCTCAGCAAATCTGTATATGAGAAGCTCTTCTTGTGGATGGTCGTTCGTATTAACCAACAGCTGGATACTAAAATGCCAAGACAGTACTTCATTGGTGTACTGGATATCGCTGGATTTGAGATATTTGATGTAAGTTGGTCTTTAAAATTCTGAAGAAAACTTGGGATATTTAGAATTCAACAGACTAAAACATTTATATCTAAATTCCCACATAGTTCAACAGCTTGGAGCAGCTTTGTATTAACTTCACCAATGAGAAGTTGCAGCAGTTCTTCAACCACCACATGTTCGTCCTGGAACAAGAGGAGTACAAAAAAGAAGGAATTGATTGGGAGTTCATTGACTTTGGTATGGATCTGGCAGCCTGTATTGAGCTTATTGAGAAGGTGGGTGCCAGTCTTTTGTATTCTTTCCTTTAAAATATTAGTAGATTTAAGATATATATATATATATATATATATATATATATATATAGATATAGATATATATATATATATATATATTTATTTCTCCACACAGCCAATGGGCATCTTCTCAATCCTGGAGGAGGAATGCATGTTCCCCAAAGCTACTGACACTTCCTTTAAGAACAAGCTCTATGACCAACATCTGGGTAAGTGCAAGAACTTCGAGAAGCCCAAACCTGGCAAAGGCAAAGCTGAAGCCCACTTCTCTCTGGTGCACTATGCTGGCACTGTGGATTACAACATCAGTGGCTGGCTGGACAAGAACAAGGACCCACTGAACGAGACTGTTGTCGGCCTTTACCAGAAGTCTTCAGTGAAACTCTTGGCCTTACTTTACTCTTCCTATTCTGGTTCTGACAGTGAGTAGTCAATTCATCAAACTGTTATGTAACACTTAACGATTTCCACACATTTTCTGAAAAATATTCAAACGCTCACATATCGTTTTCAGGTGATTCTGGTGGAAAGGGTGGAAAGAAAAAGAAGGGCTCCTCCTTCCAGACTGTGTCTGCCCTGTTCAGAGTAATTAGTTTTGATGGCAAAATGTATACTATTCTATAACCTTTCTTATGCAGTCATAGTTATTTACAATAATTGTAATGCTTCACAGGAAAATCTGAACAAGCTGATGACCAACCTGAGAAGCACTCATCCTCACTTTGTGCGTTGTCTGATCCCCAATGAGACAAAAACTCCAGGTAAGTGTTTTTTTTATATAGGGTATGGAACAGTGTAAACTTTTTTTTAAGTTCTAACAATGTCTCACACTTCTCCAGGTACCATGGAGAATCATCTGATCATCCACCAGCTGAGGTGCAATGGTGTGCTGGAGGGTATCAGAATCTGCAGAAAGGGCTTCCCTAGCAGAATCCTTTATGGTGACTTTAAACAAAGGTAATTTTGCTTTATTTTCCAGTTGCTAGCTCTTCTAACATTTTCATAAAATTTGACAAAAAATAATATTTTAATGGTGCTTGGCTGACTTCAGATACAAGGTCCTGAATGCTAGCGCAATTCCAGAAGGACAATTCATTGACAGCAAAAAGGCTTCTGAAAAACTCCTTGGCTCAATTGATGTTGACCACACTCAGTACAAGTTTGGACACACTAAGGTATAAAATAGCTTTTTCTAAGTCAGTGCAGAAACACTGTGGGGTTTTTAAAGGTGGTTTGAATAAGATTTATTTTCCCACAGGTGTTCTTCAAAGCTGGTCTTCTTGGTACCCTGGAAGAAATGAGAGATGATAAATTGGCCCAGCTGATCACTCGCACTCAGGCTCTTTGCAGAGGTTTCTTGATGAGAGTAGAATTTAAGAAGATGATAGAAAGAAGGTATTCATGACATTGCACTGTATTACACATGACCTCTGATCCATGAATGAAACCACACAATACTTTTCCTAAAAACATTATAATAGAACACTTTATTTTGATATTATACAAAATAAAGATAAGCAGATTGATTTGTGTTCACATAATAATCACTATTATGCATTCTTTAAAATAGGGATGCAATCTATGTCATCCAGTACAATGTCAGATCATTTATGAATGTAAAGCACTGGCCATGGATGAAACTGTACTTTAAGATTAAGCCACTTCTGAAGAGTGCTGAGACAGAGAAGGAGATGGCTAACATGAAGGAAGAGTTTGAAAAGACCAAGGATGCACTTGCTAAATCAGATGCAAAGAGGAAAGAACTAGAAGAGAAGATGGTTGTCCTCCTGCAGGAGAAGAATGACCTCCTACTTCAAGTGCAGTCGGTAAGATGCTTTAAAAAACATATACATAGAATTGTTATAAAAAGTTATTTTGACATTAACCACATTACTTCTTTTTCATGTAGGAAGGTGAAAACTTAGCCGATGCAGAGGAAAGGTGTGATGGTCTTATTAAGAACAAGATTAATCTGGAGGCCAAAGTCAAAGAGCTCACAGAAAGACTTGAAGATGAGGAGAAAGCAATGCAGAGCTTACAGCCAAGAAGAGGAAATTAGAAGATGAATGCTCTGAACTCAAGAAGGACATTGACGACTTAGAACTGACATTGGCCAAAGTTGAGAAAGAGAAACATGCAACAGAAAACAAGGTTGGACACTTTATAATAATCATGTAAATGTCAGGTTTCTAATTAGCATAGTAGTAGTTGTGTATCATTCTTCTACTTTTCATAGGTTAAAAACCTTACTGAAGAACTTGCAAGTCTGGATGAGAACGTCTCTAAGCTCACCAAGGAGAAGAAAGCTCTTCAAGAGGCTCATCAACAAACTCTTGATGATCTGCAGGCAGAGGAGGACAAAGTCAGCTCACTCACTAAAGCTAAAACTAAGCTTGAACAGCAAGTAGATGATGTGAGCACCTCTAGTTTGATTTGTGCTTAATTTTTGTTTGATGACTGTGGACACATTAATTAAACAGAAAATATTTCTTTACCCAATCAGCTGGAAGGTTCTTTAGAGCAAGAAAAGAAACTCCGTCTTGACCTTGAGAGAGCCAAGAGAAAGCTTGAAGGTGATTTGAAACTGTCTCAGGAAACTGTCATGGATCTGGAAAATGAAAAACAACAAGCTGAAGAAAAGCTCAAGAAGTTAGTAAGATTAAAAATGTTTAGAAACATCTGTGTATTGAACAGAAGTCCCTAAAAACTACTTATTTTGCCAACATAGGAAGGACTTTGAAATAAGCCAGTTGCAAGTAAAGATTGAAGATGAGCAGTCCCTGGGATCTCAGCTGCAAAAAAAGATCAAGGAGCTCCAGGTAAGATTACAGAGATAAAACGCAGACATATTTATTCTAATGATCAGTAAAGCTGTATGTAATAGTGAAATGTCCCTTTAAAAGGCCCGTATTGAAGAACTTGAGGAAGAGATAGAAGCTGAGCGTGCTGCTCGTGCCAAAGTTGAGAAACAGAGAGCTGACTTGTCCAGAGAACTTGAAGAGATCAGTGAGAGACTTGAAGAGGCTGGTGGTGCCACCTCAGCTCAGGTTGAGCTCAACAAGAAACGTGAAGCTGAGTTCCAGAAACTGAGACGCGATCTGGAAGAATCCACCCTTCACCATGAAGCCACCTCTGCTGCCTTGCGCAAAAAGCATGCTGACAGTGTGGCTGAACTTGGAGAACAGATTGACAATCTCCAGAGGGTTAAGCAGAAACTGGAGAAGGAGAAGAGTGAGCTGAAAATGGAAATTGATGACCTTGCCAGTAACTTGGAGAATGTCTCCAAAGCAAAAGTAAGGCAAATACAATAAATGCAACATGTTTTAGAGTAATACTTATACAAATACTTAAAGTGGTATTAATCCCTAAAACAAAAATTGTATATGTTGCTGGCCAGTAATACTTCCTGTCTTAGAGTGTGCCCACCTTGACGGAGGAGCAATAGAAACATCCTTGGACAGCAGCATTGACAATCTGGGGAGAGGGTAGTGATTGATACAAAATGGACTCTAACTGTGACTTTTGCTGGACAGCTTGGTCTGGTAAAGTTGAGAAATAAAACATCTAGTGAAAATCAGATGAAAATAAAGAAAAAAATCCTTAAAAAGAAAACAAATGCAGCCACCACATATAGGAATTAGAAGGTTGCACTACAATAATTTTTTGTTTTTTTTGGTTTAATGCTGCTTTAAAATTGGTATTGTTGTGTATTTACTTTTGCAGGCCAACCTTGAGAAAGTGAACCGTGTCTTTGAGGATCAGCTCAGTGAACTAAAGACTAAAGATGATGAGCACATTCGTGTTATTAATGATCTGACTGCACAAAAAGCCCGCTTCCAGACCGAGAGTGGTACATTTCTTAATCAATATCAATGAGTGTTAACAACTTTCAGCACACTGTGCACAATAAGTATAGTAATATACTTTTTTATAGCTGGAACTGTGTATGTATAGAATACTAATATGGCTTTGGCAGTTTTTAGTAAGAAATAAAAAGCTCACTATTCCTCCACTGTTCATATAACTTGTCCTAATCAAATATTATCTCATATTAGGTGAATTG